ATGTGGCCCGTTACGAATTTTCTAAAATAAAAAAAAATAAAAAAAATGTTTTTATACATTTTTAAATTATTTATTTTCATATATTATTTTTATATAAATTTATGAATTCGTTTAAATAATTATTCCAAAAAGTACAATTATAATGGTAATAATAAAACTAAAAACTATACAAAAATATTATACTCTTATTTTTAATGTGAAATTTGAGCTTGTACTCCTTTTACTAAAAATGAAATAATTTTGAAATATAACACGGTCCAGAAGAAAAAATGCGCGAGTTGCTCGTTGCCCATCCCTGACGTATAGAATCGTGAACGAAGAGCCGCCGTATTTCTGGGCGGGATTCTAACAACCGTGACCACCCGTTTCTGGAGTCCTGATACTTCGGAACTGATTTTATAGTAAAACCGCCGTAGTTTTTGTAGTAAAACAAGCACAGTTGACCATGGTTTCGTTTCCATTCATTAATTAATTCATCCATTCATTCCAATTCATAAATATTAGCAGTTGATAACAGTTCTTGTTATGATAATAGTTCATTCACAAACGAAAACCGTGTTATTTGCCCAAGAATTGGTTTTTGAATACTAGGATCCCATAACGCTGTTACTCACAGACATACACATCTGCTTCTATGTATTAGTTCCTATAGTAAATATTAAACGAAAAGTTATAATATTAATTCATTGATAATTTATTCATTGCGCATAACTACAGAAACTTTGAAAGTTGAGAATCTCAAGATGAAGATTTATTCAACAAAGAAATACAGGCAATCACGTTATTAGTAATTTATACACGGAAAGGTAAGCGAGCATAGTTAAATATTATATTAAGTGCTAAAATCGGGAAAAATGCAGTGACGGATTTAGCGTTTTAGCGCCCTAAGGCTTAATCACTTTGCCCCCCCCCCTATCATTCTACTAAGGAACCAACAATATTTGGTTTAAACCCTTCTCTTCAAATTTTATTCAGTTTTTTTATCAAAAAAAAAAAATTATTAAATATTCAATCTTCAAAATAGAAAACTTTGAAAAATAAAATATTTCATGTCTATTATTTTACTTTAAATACCATTATTACCAGTACAAATAAACAATGCTTATACAGTCACATAACGGAAATATAAATAGCCAGATATGAAAATACCTATAATCGGATAGTCGGATGTTTCCAATAAGTACATAGGTACTAATAAGTTAATAATAATATCTAGTAACTTACTGTAATTATTTTATTACAAATGAAATATTTTCAAATTGTAATAATAATTGTAATATTCTTACTATAACCTATAGGTACGCATCATACTATGTACATATTAATATATTATTATAACTTTTAAAATTATTTTTATTCGGGTATATATGAAAAATATAAAAAAATATATTAAAATAAATATAGGTACCTAATAAGTTAATAATAACACTTAATTCTATATAAAAAAACCGCCCTAGGCTATAAGCCTTTTAGCCTGCCCCTAATCCGCCACTGGAATAATGAAAAGGGTTAGTAAGAAATAGTGCAACGATATACAATACAAATAATACAAATAAAACGATAGATCATCAACAGTTTAAAAACTGCGTTTCAAAAGCAAAATTACTTAACAATGAATAGTAGAAGGCTATTGGAAACAACTGTATTGCCATTTAGTAAAAAACTGAAGTTTCTACATATATCTTGCACATACAGGAGCCCTAATAATGTATTTACCGCTCAAAATGTAGGTATTCATTTGCGACTATGGCCGCACGCATCAATATGAATTCACCCATGTCCGTGCAACAGAAAAATTAATCACGCCGTGACCGCGAGTGTAGCCGCGCGGCTGTCATGTATATAGGAATCAGCACCAGCCGGGCGCACATTGTGATGCAGGCGACGCAGCGCAGGAAAAACTGTATGACCTATGTGAGCGCATATTACTACGCAGTTCAATGTCACCATTCCCCCAGTCATGAATGAAATTATAGTAAAAAATGTAATGAATTTAAGTTCTGAGTCAGCTTCTGATGATTTTTTTATTTTATTTGTCAAGTACACGTAATACATTTCGGAAAAGTATTTTTTTAATAAAACGAAAAAGTCGTGAAGAATTCAATTTATCGTTAAAATATTTTTAAATCAAATTTTATTTTAATACTATTATAGTATAAAATTATTATGAATTAAATAATACTAATTAATAATTAAATTATCAACCAATCTTACGTAAATTTTACCGATAAATTTACTGAAATTAATTTTTTTTTACCAGTGAATTTGTTTTATTTTAGTAATATTAGTAATTATAAATATTCTAGGCATGAAATCTAAATTAATTTTGAATATAATACTAGGTAGGTACTTACCATTTTTTAATTTAATTTCATTTGCTACCTTTTCCATATCTCATTTTTTAATTTAATTTTTATATAGTCGAAAAAACTAGTGTCATATAAGACATTGTAATATCGGACTGCTTCAATTATAGACTCATCCATCGTAAAAAGAAATACCGCATCAAGATTATTTTGGAAATTAAAATAAAATTATGTAATTAAGTAGGCGTAATTTAAATGGAAAATATTCCAAATGCGTATGACACACGTGTAGTGAACTGTGTTGCGGAAACTGCGCGACGCAGGTCGACACAAAATTCTACTCTACCCTGCCCTGCGCTAGTACATTCTAATATTTTACAAATACTATGCTGAGCTGCCCTACGTTGCGTTACGTCGCCTGCGTCTCAATGTGCGCCCGGCTAGGGTAGGTCCCATTGCGACTATTGTGCCTGTATCGACTTGCGTTACGCAATGCCCGCGACACAGTTTACTGAACTTGTGCCACACGCGTTTGGAATGTTTTACAGTTACGCCGGCTATACATAATTTCCATCTTTTTAATTCGATATTTTATTTTTTTATTTTCATTTTAGTATGGAAGAGTCTGTGATTGAAGCTGTCCAACATTACAGTATCTTATATGTCATGTTTGACTATATGGAGACAAAATCAAAAATCGAATTTTTTTATGAGATCACTTTTCCACAATTTTTTACGTGTACTTAGCGAATATAACATAAGAAGTTCATCGAATTCATCATTAGAACTGATTACGAACTTCCTTTATTAAATTTTTTGCTATTATTTCATTCATGACTGGGTGAAACAGAACTGCTTTGTAATATGCACTCACATGGGTCACACAGTAAACAAACTTAAGTTTTTAAATATGAATTTTTTTTTTTTTTGTACACACCGTGTTTCCAATATTTCAGTGTATCGGAATAAAATCAGAGTTTAGCGTTGTACGAAAATCGTGTTCGAATAGCTGTTGCATTGCTGGGCAGGTGCGTGACTGCGAACACCCGATTCTAGGATCCTGGTACTCGAGAATTGATTTGTCGAGAAATTGCCCTTGAAAAAAGTTATAAAGTAATTTTTTTTCCGATTGTTATTGACGTTACACGGTCGTTTCACGGGAAAAGGAAAAAATTGCCCAACTTTTAATGAGGATGCAAATTCTCAATACGGAATATGAAAAGAATGAAATATATAGAAAATATAGCAAATATAGAATCAATGACGACACTAAAAATTTCTAAGTACTATTGTCCCATGAATGCCGACTCTCGATTGCCACTTGAAGTGTCGGTGAATTCAATACTGTTATTGTATACTGTATAGAACGATACATGCAATAACGGCGGCGGTGAAAACTTCGCATAGGTTCCTGTTATGTAAAACATAGTGACTGCCGGGTACACAATGCTTAGTAAATTGTCACTTGCACCGAACACTCGTATTTACACTTGGGTTCTCACGACACTCGCACTAAGCTCTTAGTTTTTACATACAAGTATAGTATAGTACTACTATAATACAGTATAGTACTAGATACATACTATACTATACTACAGTAACTATAGTATAGTGTAATAGATAGTAAATCTACTAAGCACTAATACTAATCATCAGGCGGTTAGGTTACACGTTACGAGTACAACCGCGAGTAGAGTAGCTACTTGTCATTATACATAGCACGACGTTGTATTCACTCGCACTCGCGGTTATACTAACGCCGTGTCCTAAGTAGCATCCGTCAATACGATATTGCGATGTATACGATTTAATAACAATTTTTCGTCAGTCCATCACAGACGATTTAAGAGTACTTTACTCTAGTAAGTTTTACTGTCGTATGTTAATGACAGTTAAAGTGTTGGTCGGAAAAAACATCCGTACACCGAACCATCCAATAATAAAATATTATTGTATTATAAATAGTGCATTAATAGTGTTAATAATATTTATAAATAGTCGATTATTTGTAGTGCGTAGTCGTCACTCGTCAGTCAGTCGTGTTCATCACTAGTAGATACTCTATAATAATATAATATAATATTATGTTTTAGCACTAGATCAACGTTGATTTAATATCAAACGTATTATCGCATACGGCGAAAACAAATAATTTTGTTTTTCAAATTTGCGTCCGTTAACGGATTATCGCATTTGCCGCACACTTTGGACAGTTGTATTAATATATATATATTTGTTTTTATTTCTCGACGGATTATCGCATCGGACGTATTTAACGAACCCGCCGTAATATTAAGAACACTTATAGGTATACGTATTCATACCTGTTTACACGTGTGGTATTAGTGTGAGTAACAAGTACTAAGTACTTGTAAACCCAGCATGAGTTATTCACAAAATAAGTAAATATACAAAGTATTATAAAATATTCCTTGAGTAAATATATTCCTTCGATGCACATCACTACGTAGTACATAGACCCCAAGATTATAAGGTTTGTGTGAAGTTTAAAAAATTAAATTTTTATATAAGTTCTTGAATATTTCTGTGTATCTAGATAAACATCTAGCATTTGGCGTCTCCATGTGTAGAATTGTTCGTCGAAGGCCCATAGAAACTGGCAAATCAAACATGAAACTCGTTTAACCATGTGCTTTTTGCCGTTCCATTTCGAGTTTATTTTTGTTTTTCATCATGGCCGAGGCCAACAAGAACGACCTGGTGTCCGAGTACCAGCTGTATCAAGTCGTGACTGTCGAGGAGGAAGGCGAAGGGGACGAGGACAAGGACGCTGACGCGAGATCATTACCACCGCGATTCCCATCCGTTTTGTTTGTACGCCGATATACAATAGCTAGGATTTATTTGCAATAAAAAATTGTTTAATATGCATTTTATTTACCAATATATGTGAAAAAAAAATTTTATTATTTCTAGAATTATTTATTTATTTAAATTACTTATCTTACTCTTAAATTATTTATCATAATTTGTTACATTAAAATTTATTACATTAAATATTAGATTATATTAATATTGATTATAAATCGTATTAATGAAATGAAATACTTCTGTACTGTCTCACAATATAAGTACTAGATACCTACATGGGCCAGGCCCTTAAAATTTAAATCCAGGCTGAGCTTTTTTTAAATGAGACATGGACCCCGTATCGGGCTTTTAAATTTTAATTACAATCTAGGCCGAGTTTTTTAGAATGTAAAAAACTTGTATAAAAATTCAATTTTAGTGATAAAACATTCATTAGGGTCAAGCCGGACTTTGAAAAATATCTTTAAGACTTTAGGTTCATTTCACAGCCGAACGTTCATACGTAACGTTTTTCAATTTACATTGTTTAAGTTTATACGCACGGATCGCAAAAACCCGTGGCGTAGTAATGGAGGCAGGGGGTCGCCCCGGTTATTATTATAATAAAATATATTTTGTAAATATTTGAACCATTTCATATTTTTAACGCAGCTATAAATTCGGACCGAATGAAAAGAGCACGGAATTTTTCATTACTTATTCTGTGACGAATTCGGGAATTCCTTTTCTTTGAATGATATTTTGTACTTGGATTGTTTATGACTTATAATCAGTGAGAATGACTTTTATAACATATATATTAAGTTCAATATGGTTTATTAGGTTCCTTTTAGAAAGTACGTGATGCTTTGACAAATCAAAAAAAGTTATATTCATGGATCTTCAGTTGTTTAGTTCACAATTTTTCGTAACCGTGATTTTTGTGCAAATAAGTACGTATAGTAGTTATGAAATTATTGGATAAGTTCGTGAAATTTTGAATTTTCCGCTACGTTTACCTACATTCAACTGTGTGAATATTAAATATTTAATTTATGTAATTGTATGTTGGACTGTCTGATATGTTATTCAAGCTTTAATTAATTAAAATCCAACCATGTAGGAGTTTTGCACTCACATACCCAGGGTTCCAAACAAATATTTACGGTTTTCAGATTTTTGCCTATAGATAGATGTGGTGTAAAATATACCTAGTTTTTGAAATGTTCGATAGTTTATTTTGTAACTCTAACTTTTATCGTTACATTTTTTTTTTTATTTTACCATTAAAAATGAAAAGAATAAAAGAAATTGAGGCGGAATAAGATAGTTATAATAAGTATAAGTATCTATAAGTAGGTTCTATTACCTACTTAAAATCAGGGTTCGACGATCGCATGATTAAATAATACCTTTGTGCATAGGCGCAACTATGGTAAAATATCTGGGCGGGGGGGGGGGGGGGGGGCTACAGCCCCCCTATCAAAACTTAAAATAATCTGTAAATCACCCCTACTCTTATTTACCATGTTAATATAGGCATTTTAGTTAGATTTACTTCAATGTGTCTTTTTGTATGTAACACTATTGTGAGTTAAGTATGCTGTATGCAGTATGCCATGTATAACATGGAATATTATTGGGGAGGCTAATCCCCCTAGCCACTCCCTCCCACCATAATTGCGCCTATGCCTTTGTACCTGTTATTTCAATGGTCGAAGTAAGAATTTTTGTATTAATAAACTTTTTTATTTAAAATTTAACCTGTATAATTCAAAATAATGATAACTATTCTTGCCGAAAAGTTCATTTCATATGAATTGAATATGGTTCAAAAAAAAATTATAACTGTTATCAGAAATAAAAAAAAGTAACATTATTTGTAACGTATTATTTTATTAATGAAAATGCAATGTAGGTAACGTATAAAAATTATTTTAGGTAACTCAAATGTAATTTGAATAAAAATATTTGAAGTAACGAGTAACGTAATTTTATTACTTTTTAAAAGTAAATTACCCAACACGTTAACTACTACTATAGGTTGACAATCACAAATATTAACGATACCAAACTCTATGAATAGTTGCAACCACGGTATAAGATATACTTATTTGCTTTGTATATCTTAAATCGTGGTTCAACCAAGGTACTCGTACGTGAAAACAATTACTTAGAGTAGCGGTTCCTAACCTTGAGTACGCGCAGAGGCGGATTTATCTTTTTTACGGCTATAGGCACTAATAATTTACCACCTCTATAATAGGTAAAGAAGTTATATAACCCCTTCCAAAATACCTAATCTAAATATTAAATATATAAACGTATGTACCTACATCCATTTGAATTTTTAGACTATTTTTTTCGCTTTTATTAATTAGTCTACTATGAAATAGTAATGTCAATGAATGTTCACTAAATTTTAATAAAAACAATTTTTCATAATAAAAACATAGGATTATTAATATACAGTCGATGTAGTAATATAGTGTGGCGGTGTGGGTATTTATTTTTCCTCAAAATTCCGACGGTAACATATTGACAAGTGTGCACCCATTATTATACAATTATTTTTCGTAAGTATAAAGTAATTAATTTTCCAATTTTTTTTCGTACGTTTGATGCCTACAATGCTTAATGGGAAATCCACCTCTGGATACGCGGATGACCTCAATAGGTACGCGATAAAAAATTAACTAATGGTGGAAACATTTTAAATTAATTTTTTTTAAACGATTTGTTGAAATCTAATGATTTTATGAAATAATATGTAGAGTATATATCGCAAACGCTTACGCCGCACTACTTTTTTCGTTTAAGCGTTTATGATCGCGGAACGATGAAGTATAGGTAAGATCTGCTGACGTCACGGTTGTACTATTATGTTCCAAGTGAAACACATCAGTAGCACTCGTGAGCGCTTAAAGCGAATTATGTAACCAACCGGAATGCACCATATATCAAGCACAAGATTATCTGCTCTCTGAATCCAAATTTTGAAGTCTTTACTCTGATCGAAAAATACATACTTCCTTTTCGCAAAATCGACACAACCACAAATCACAGTTTTGTTAGAAACCATATTGACTGTAATTGATAGACACTTATAAATTAAATAATAGGCAATTATCATGAAATTAAGTATTAAATTATGTTACTGTAAACATAAAAAAATAACATATTATAGCGATGCGTGTCATTTTCAGAAAGTTAAATTTGAGACCCTTTTTTTCTACGTGTAAGTGCGTAGGCCGTGCACCTAGCTTACTTAGAATATTTACACAACAGAAAGGAACCCACGAGTTGTGAACCCATATTTATTATAGTATTTCTAATATTGATGTACGTATAAAAGAGGTTGGCCACACTGGATTATCAACTACCGCTCGCTAACAAACAATACGCCGTTCCCGTTTATTTCATTCACGTAAGAAAAGTGATTACTGCGACATTATCTAAAGTGCTAAAATTCGGAATAAAACTCGTGCGAAGAGAACCGACCTCGCCGCCGGCACGAGAGCACCCAATTAATCCGTTGCTGAAACCTTTGCCATTAAGAGTAAGTCAATACTGTACAATGATACTTTCTTTGTTTCTTTAAATCAACTTTTTGGCATATTCCAAATACTGCATAATATATATATATATATATATATATAAGGCGCATAGAACCAGAACAGCTTAACCCACAAAAGTGTAATTGTGCAGGACGAGCATTCCAAGTTTTAACAATTTTCATTTTTTTTTCTTATTAAGCATAGGGTTGGGCCACTTTGGTTCTTAAATTATATATCATAATCACAAAGCCAAATACAAATATGTGCTGCTATCTAGTAAATATATTTTTTGTGAGATAGGCTATTGTGGATTTCATATATCATATAAATGTGAAATGTTTTATCATATAAAATAAAAATTGATTTTTTGTGGGTTAGACCGCTTTGGTCTATGCGTCTCATATATCACCGGTAATTTGGACGATTCAGGTATTTTGCAAAATGCTGACTCATTTTAGGCAATGTAAACAATACGTATGATTTTCAAAATTATTTTACATATAACCTAGATATTTTATAAAACACCTAAGTATTATACAAAATGCCAATCATTTTTAGGCAAAGTACAAAACATTTTATTATATGTAATATTACATTAAAATTATTATAATTATTATATATTATTACTCATGTTACAGAGAAAATTTAATTTTATCTATTATTATATTATTACTATTATATACATATTTTACTTAAACTACTATTTACTTATTGTAGTATGTTGTAGAAAAGTGACATTTTGAAGTGCATAAAATGTTATTTTTAAGGCAAATACACTTTTTATTTTGACATTTGGACTTACAAACACATTTTTAAAATCCTTGGCCAATTCTTATAGAATGAATTTTTATCAACTCATTATACTGTTCACCAGATATAACACTAGTATTAGTATAAGTTTGTTATACAAATTTGACTTAAATTTGACTTGTAATATTAGATAGGTAACTGTTAATATCAGATACGATATCTATCTGGTTAGGTTACGAGAATAATAAAGATTTTCCCACAAATCACTATATAGCTGCAAACCTACACAGTTTTTATTTATTAATTTAAAGACTTGTTTAGTTGTATTTATAATCTACTGACTACTACAATTACTTCAAGTTTTAATATGAGTAATTCTAGCTAAAATATTGATGATGAAAATGATTCAGAACCACATAATGGATCTCTTTCGACTATTTATCTGCAAAATGTTAGTTTATCTTAGCCTAATTGCACCAAATATTTTTTTACAAAAGTATTTGAAAAGTATTCCAAAGATTTTTTTAAAGTATTTGAGTAGTATCTTAAATACTTGAAAAAAAAATAAATGTATTTGAGTATTTACTTAAATAATTTTTAAAAGTATTCTTTATAGCTCTGTACACATTCAAATCAATGGTAAAATATACTTTATTTGTTTTATGTAACTATGTAAGTAGGTATAAGAGTTGGGTAAAAACAAATCAAAATTATGAATAAAAAATAAAATCATGAATAACTAATTATTTTGTGAATAAAGAATAATGTTTTATTTTAAATAGTTTTAGTTGTGAATGAAAAATAAAAATTATTCTGATTAATAATTCAACTTGTAAATAAATAAAATAAATAGTAAATAATATTCAATTTTTTTGTAACAAAATTATGATAAAAATATAATGTTCATAAAAAAGCAAATAATAGTAAATACTATAATAAATAAAAAGTCAGCATCTTTAATATGGCTACATTAAATTATGTCAGACTTTATTTTAAATTAAATACAAAATGTTACTAAAGCAGTAAAACCCTACGTGCGGGCAAATAACATGTCAATATCGAGTGCTTAATTATAATAATTATAATTATAATTATAATTTAATTATATAAGCCCTTCATAGATAAAAATATTATTTATGATTTTGGTTTTGACATTTTCAATAGCTGAATATAACCCCAATTTCTGATGTTATTAAATTAGACGACGTGATTGTTCATAAGATAGAATCTTGAAGAGTGAAGAAAGTCTCAATTAGATCAAGGGATAATCCAGCAAAAAATACTATAATTAAAATAGAAGAAGATTTATTTAAACGAAATTAGTTCAAAAATAGGAAATCAGTCAGAAATAATCGGTAAGGAAAATTTAATAGATGAACCAGCTGAACTCAAAGAGTACCTTAATTCTATATGTATTAAAAAATTGTACAATTTAAATGTTATTTAATTGAAACTAAAGATTTTATTTTATTTTTTCAGTCAAATTTTGTAGCTTCATCAAATTTCAGTATAGATTTAATTCACAAATTTAATCAAAATTAAAAAAAAGTATAAATTATCAAAACAATATTACTCAAAATATCATAAGTGCTAATTTTAATTACATTTTTCAGAATGCAGATGCTAGTATAAAAGATCAAGTTAGACAAAGACAATAATCAAAAAAGTAAGTTCTTATTTGTAGAAGATTATATTGTTTTACAGCTTGCCTCTGGAATATAATTTCAGTTATCATTTTTGTTATTATTGAAAAATATTATCAGAAAATCCAATTTTGCTTTAATATATATTATTTGTATCTCAATATTATAAGTCTTCTCGTTAACTGTCCCTTATTTTGAGTTAACTTTAAAAATTAAAAATTCAATTTTTTCATGATTTAATACTTTTTATATTTTTCTAAGAATATCACTTAAATTTTTTCACTAACAACACAAACCTAATATTTTTAATTCTTATTGGTTTTAGTTCTAAAAGTATAAATGAATATAGTGAAGAATTAGATACTGATAGGGGAGGAACCATGACTTCAAAAGACGATCCAAATAAATTTTTGTGTTTTTGTAGAAAACCTAATAATGACAAGTAATACTAAAAAAATATTAATATTTAGAATAAAAATATATATGTATACAATTAAAACAATATTTCAGATTTATGATTTCTTGTGATACTTGTGAAGTTTGGTTCCATGGAAAATGCGTAGGTATTACAAAGGATTTGAGTAAACAAATAGAAGAATGGAATTGTCCACCATGCAAAAAAAAGAAGACTAAAGAAGCACGTAAAAAATCTGATGAGGAGAAAACCAATAAAAAATTAAATGAAGATAAAAGAAAAAAATATGGTTCAATATGGCTAGTCAAGAAAACTGATTCAAAATCTACTAAAATTCAACCTTTATTACAGCAAAATTGTGTCCAGCGTAAAAAGGTTTTTGAAGGTATAGCAATGGGTTTATATTTTATTACTTATATTGTAGGTTGTTGATATTAAATATGGACTATTCCTAATAAAACAGATTTTAACGTCGTCCATACTATGTATGCATAAGGTTATGCATATTTGGCTAGGGTTTTGTCGGGTCATTTTAGGGGATGTATATCAATTCCGCCGACTACTATTTATCCCTCCCTTGTAATTTGTAAATGTATTTCAAAAAAATTCAGTCCTACATAATTTACTATATATAAAAATTGTATAATAATTCAAAACTAAAATGTATAGTCTAAATTATATAAAATAATAAAAATAAAATGAGTCAATATATTTTATTTAATTCCGTACGTATTACGCTACACATAAATGTTAATGATGATTTTGACTGAAATCTTATCTTTAAGATATGATATATTTTAATATATATAAGACCTATATTTACATATTTTATATTGTTAAATTGTAAACTTTCCAATCTTCTCATGTTACTTCAAGTCTAGTTAATAATTAGTATCGATCTTGTTAACAAAATTGGTCCATCACGTTCATAGCGTCGCACATTCGTATTATTTTATTTATTAAAGATATTATATTTATTACTTATTAATTACAAATTATAATGGACTTTACTATAGTTCGATAGTAAGCGATTGATTAACAACAGATTTGATGTCAATTACTCCAGATGACGATAGAATAGGAAAGTTCTGCGATTATTAAATTTATTATTATATACTGATGAAGGAAAAAAATTCAATCCACGTATTTGGGCAACAAGGGAAATAACATAGGAACGTACTACTAATAGCTGTGAGTCTTTCCACTCAAAATTAAATTCGCAATTTACAAAAGCTCATCCCACCATTTTCATAATCACCCATGTTTTAAATACAAAAATACAAACTAACAATTACATACATATAAATGTAATAAGTATCAATACAATAAGTAAAAATAGTGCTTTTAACAAAAAAAAAAAAAAAAAAGTATTAAGAATTTATGAAATGATTTGAATGATAATAAAATTTCTAAGATCACTTATTTAAAACATGTGTACAAATATTACCAAAAGTAATTATATTTATATTATATTTATATTAATTAGAATATACATTTTACTTTTGAATTATACATTTATTATTATTTTATTATATATTATATATTTTAAAATATCTGGCGGAGTCGATATGTAGATATTTTAAACAGTAGCCGGCGGAATCAATAATTCTCCTTTTTGGAATTCTAGGTTGGAGTGGACAAAAATACCCAATTTTTTAATAAAAATCATAATTCTTTATTTTACATAAAATATTGGTTTATTTATTAAGGTTACATAAAAATAATATTTTTGATTTATTTACTTGGATAGCCATATTTTTCAGTAGATTTTGATTTTTTCAATAGTTCTTTGTTCCCTTTACAAATGTATAGAACTCTGCGCAAGTCAAGTTATAATTAACTTGACACAGTAAAATCGACTCCATGGTCTCTGAGAGTAGGCGATTTCGTTCATCAATTCACTGAGCCGACATTAATATAAAATGAATATATTACCTATTTATCATTTGTTAAATGTTAATATCTTTAATGTTGTAACTTTGTCGGAAACCATTTCTTTTCATCTTTTTTTTTTGAAAACCTAACTATTTCGATGTTTTGAAAATAATGGTAAAAAAAATGTTGGGGGAAATCGTTAGTTTTTAAGTTATACAATTATGAAAATTACGAATTTTCAAAAATATTGTATAGACAAGCTTAATTAGATAATATTTTCCATTTATATATTTCACTTCTTGTCCAATGATTAATGATTATTAGTCTGAAGCAGAAGCTTCCTGGTTCTAATCTCCAATTGTTACTAATTTTTTAACTATTTTAACTATTTTAACAATTAAGCATTGTTACTATTTTTTTTATTTGTTTAAACTTAATTAATTTACATAGTTTAATAAATAGATATATAATAGTATAATTTACCAGGTATATTTTAATATATTTATCTAATATTTTTTTTTTTTTACGAATTTTTCAGGTAGAATTCTTAAACGAACTTTATTAGATGAAATGCCAGTCAATAATATGACTAAAAAATGTAAATTTATTTCAAAAGGTAGTAATAGTAATGAAAAAATTGAAATTCTCAACTTAAATGATGGTAATAACCTGAAAGATAATGATCATATTGAAATTGTTAATGTGATGCCTAAAGAGAACAGGGTTACGAATGAATATCAATCAATTAATATCAAAAATAATACATCTACTCCTATAATAAAAAAAACTAGTACTCAAGTAAAAGAGGAACATAATTATTGTAGATTATTGTATGATCATATTACTGTAGAACATTCAGAAGTTGAAGATGGTGCTGACAAAGTCCTTCAGTCGACACGTTTAAGATTACCAAGCGTCAATAAAACATCTAAACTAAAAGGTAATTTAAATGAATAAAATATTGATGAATTAAAATGGATCAGTTCCAAGTGTAATACTCTTTTTAAACTTGGTACATTTTCAGATGTTCAAAATATTTTGTCAAAAGATATTCCTTCATCTTCAAAAACCAAAGACCAGAATAAAAACTTCATGGCAAACAAAGACAGAGATTTTGAAATTATTGATTTAACTAGAAATCATCATGAAACCGCTAAAGATGATGAAAAAATAATCAATGATATTCCAGAAGAAAAAATCAAAATGAATTTTGATAATTTGCCTGAAATGATCAAATATTTATATGAAAAGAATTTGACTAATGACGTAAGATATTTTTATTTAAATTATGCATTACTGATACAGGTAGCTGATAACTTGGTCACACTTGCTCTTGCCACGTTTTCGATGTATTTGTAATTTTTGCTGTTGAGTATTCATTTATTTAAATGCTGGTTCTAAATCATAACTTTGAATGATAAATACAGTTGTATTAATATTGTGCACAACATGCAATGCAATATTATTGTAATATTGCAATTTTTATAAATTGTATATTTACTTATGATATTCCCTATTACTCAGCCCCTATTTTTTAGTGAACTCCGACACAAAGTGTGTAGTCCAAAACTGTAGACTACAGATTCGAGAAGTATGTAGGTACCTACTAAAAAAAATAATTAACACTTCTATGAAGATATTTTTCAGGAAGCTAGTTTGAGCAAGACAACTGATGAGGACTTAAATATATCTATTCAATTTTAAATTATATATGTCACATTAAAATAAATAGTTTATAAATAGTTTTCAAATTCATAACAAACAAAAGTAACCTAATTATAATGTGCAATTTGATTAATAAAAAAGAACTACTAAAAACTATTACTGATATTGTACTAAAAATTATAATCATATGGAAGGGGGTAGAGAGAGGCTCTGTATCATATAATTGTACATTAAAAAATGTGTAGTACGAATTTTTATGAAAAATAGAGGCTGCTGTTACTTAAATAAGATTGGATCATGGTTAACAGTTGCCAATTTTTGTGATGCATAATATTGCTTTAGCTATTTATATTTATTTAATAATAACTTAAATAAACTATAATTTGATTTTTTTTGTCTTAGGATATTGAAAAAAATGTTGATCCAACAAAACTTAAAACTATTAAAGAAAAAATAGATGAGAATACAAAGCGTAAAAGAATTGAGATGTTAGTTCAGAAAGAGAAAGTATGGCGGTTAAAATACAAAAATCTGTCTGAACAAATAAAAGAACTCAAAATGGTTATCGACATGCATAAGGAAGAATTGAAAACAAATCCAAATGCTAGGCCAATTATATTTAAAAAAGATATAGGTTTACAAACAGCAATAACTCCAATGAAGGTAAATTGATTATTAACAATATGAAATTGTAAAAATTGTATATATACATTTACAATTTAAAATGCAACTTTTATTCAGTATATTATTAATTTTAAGATAATTTTGAAATATTTACTAAGTTTTCATATATATTGAAACTTATTTACATATACATAAAAAAAATATTTCTCAAATTGTATGCCAAATTTAAAAAAAATTTATTTTATTTTTAAAGATTTTAACTGTAGATCCCAGGAAATATTTTCTTCATATTTTTATGAACATGACTCAAAAATATATATATAACTAAAAATTAAACTATTATTACATGAAATCTAACCGTTGTAATTATTTAAACGAATATTTTTTCGCACTTATCTAAAGATTCTTATTATGAAATTTTTTGTAGAATTTTAATACCTATAAAAATCTTATGTGTAATATTATTGTAATGTTATAATATTATATAATATCAAGGCTTGAATATTATAGTATTTACTAATTATTATAGAATGGATACTTGGGTGGTCCTTAGCTATAGATGAAGACATTTTTTTTAATATTTTTGATTTCTTAACTCCTCATTTTGTTCATTACTATAAGAAAGTAATTCGGGTTTAATTTGGTCATAATTACTCACTCCTTTCACATGCCCCAAGAGTATTGAATATTAGTAAAAAAGAATTGTTTTGTCATTTTTTGACTATATTCAAAAATATATTGCATTTATCTTAAAAATGTATAAAACATATATTATAGATATTTATAGTTTTAATAAAAAATATATTCATACAATTTCTCATAAATCTATTATTTCCCAAGAAAAATGATAAACTATCGAATATTTTAATGATTTAAAAAAACAATTTTTTACAGTTGTTTAAATATATTAAAATAATGGTTGATGACACGATAAAATATCTTATATACAATTAATAAAGAATTTGATTTCCTAAAAAAAGTTAATTAGCATAAATTTCATTGGATTGACTGTTTTATTGTAACCGTCAGGTAAACGTAAAAGAATTTAATGTATCTAAAATTTTATTATATTAATTCAAGAGTTTTATTAATAATACATGTTTTAATATAATACAGTTTATATAATGTCTTATAAATCTATTATTTATTATTTCGTAAGAAAAACTATATGATAGCAATTATTATTATAATTTTTTTAATTTTTTTTTATATAGTTGATTTCTTTCAGTTATTTTAAAGATCTTGGACATGGTGGATTTTTACAATTTAGGAATCACCGACGATACTCGCTCACTACTTTCAGTAAATATTACTTCTGGTTTTCGCTTTTAGTTATTAACTTACTATAATCTTCAATTAATTTCACTCCTCGCTCCGTAATATCATTAACTACAGTTAAGTTATTTACTAATTATTTTCCTTTTATATATTGATCATTTTCGTTCCACAATTTCGGATATAAATCTAAAAAGTCCAATATCATACAGAATCTATTAAAAAAAAAAAAAATTCTAGATTGGACTGATATAAAATTATCGATATCTTTATTAGCATAATTATATATTTTATTTGATTATAAAATTATTCGTTTTTTGTATTCTGATTTGACAACAAAAGACTTTATTGCTTTAACTATTTTTGCCTTTGTTTTCAGTGATACATTGTCACCAAAAAATGCTAATGATGTTACTTCTGGTTTTAAGTATCATAAATGACTACACATTTTTTTTAATGTTCATTTTGAAATTTATATATCAATGACCTCGTACAATATTAGCTCTTTAATAAATTGTAAATCCATGTTTGGTGCCAGAGCAGCAGTTGGAGCACAATTTAACTTCAAGTATATGATGTCTACATGGTAAATATAGTATATCACGTTCTAGCCGTTGCTCTAATAATATACAAGTGCATTTTAGTCGACCCATGATAGATGCGGTTGTACCACAACATAAATGTGTGCTTGTATGTTTTCGGTTAAATCCCAATTTTCAAGAGTTTGATATACTGATATTGCTTGATTTTGTCTAGTGCCAGATATAAGTTCTGGTACACCAAGCAGCTGCTCTTTGCCTTTAAATTAAATTACTATTGGTATTCCTATAGACAGTCAATCATTTTTTTTCCGGATAGTGAGGGAAGAAGTTTACCATCTCATAATCTCAACTGTAACATATTATCCGATTCCGATACAACTATTAGGTACATAATATTATCTACTCGTATACAATGTATCATTATCTTAAAATGTGTGTTATTTATGAAACTATTGAGTTACAACAGTAACATTTTAGCTTGATACTTACAATTTACACAGTGTTTCAAAAATACAAATATTAAAAATATATATAATTTTATAAGCTCTAAATAACAACAAATGTACAAAAATAATAATATAATAATAAAAAATTTATTTTTCAAATAAATAAAATATTTGATAATACCTATATCATTTTTCTTACGAAATAATAAATAATAGATAGTTATAGATTTATAAGATATTGCATAAACTGTATTATATTAAAACGTGTATTATTAATGAAACTCTTCAATTAACATGATAACATTTTAGATACATTAAATTTTTTTACGTTAACCCAACTGTTACAATAGATCAGTCAATCCAATGAAATTTATGCTAATTAACTTTTTTTAGGAAATCAAATTCTTTATCAATTGTACATAAGATATTTTGTCGTAAGTTCAAAAATAAGGACAACCCTAATGGACACTGATAAAAATAGAAGAATAATCTTTAAGTTTGTTATATGTAACAAGGATTTAAAATCTTATATTGAATACTTCTTGTTTTTGTATATTTTTAAAAATTTCGTTTTACAGTACTATTTTTCCAGTTTTAGGTATATTATTTGCTTATATGCGTTGAATTTAATTTATTTTGTATATTCGTATTCCTCATTACTAAGATTAAAATTGTAAAATAATGTGAATAAAGTAAAAAAAGGTCCTCATATTTTTATATTTTTTTATAAATTTAATCATTCAAAAATAATTCTTACATAATTATAAATTATAAATGTTTACAGAAAGAAAAAGACATGGATTTTTAAATTTCTTTAAGGACATTTTATTGTGTATATACTAAGGTTTTCAGATCATAGGAAAACTCATAATTTAATGCTTAGTGCCTTAAAATCGAAGTCTTAGTAATTATTTATAGTTAAAAGTAAATTATATTTGTCTAATTTACTAAATTCCGCACATTTTTTTTCATCCTTAATGACTTCAAATTATGGTACTATTTTTAGTTTTGATTACTTATATTTTAATTTTAGCAAAAGCCAAATATAACTGATCAATTACGAATACCAATAAATTTACCAACGAAATGTGTGTCTTCTTTATCCACGATTAAAGAAGACAACATTTGTACCATTAATCTTACCAATGATACTGTTGTCAAAAAATTAAATATAATAGGTTTGGATTTATCACTAATGAATACTGTAAAACGCTCTATTTTAAATGCAGGAGTATCACCAGGGCTATTACCAGCATAACTGATAATTATTAAATAATATATATAATTTGTTAAAAAAAAAAAAAAACATTTCAATTTTATCATTTTAGACAGCAGAGCCACTAATTTTGCATGGAAATCCAAGCTTATCAAATTGTATTTCGAATTTTATAGTAAAAACTACATAACCTGTGATAATAAAATAAAATAAATTGTGTTTCAACTTATTATATTTAATTTCAATTATAGGTACTTACTCGAATGGCAAATGCTAAAAACCAAAACTCTATAAATGAAGAACGCAGTAAAAGAATTATTTTAGAAGAGCGTGAAACATATGTACCTGTACCATGTGAGTATACTACTTATATCATATAATATACTCTATTACATTTAAGAGTGAAACCAAGACTGGTTATCACCTAAATTTACCAAATTCTACTACATTTTCAATGGGCAACAGTATTTTTAAACACTTGTTTAATCGCTGAATACATCAGTAAACCACACCTAAAGTGTCTTCTATCACGATAAATTATCGCTTTTATATGTATAATATTAATTATTATTGTAATAATACAATTTTTAT